CTTTGTTTAGCCTTTATTCTTTGTTTACCCACATTATCCTCACCTAGCCTAGTTTAGGACAATCCACACCCTTGTTCTTAAAAGATAGTGAGCATGACTTAAATGAATTCCTTTTGAGTTACATTATGCAAGAAAATGAGTGTGGGGGAGGGAAAGTTTGTTCTTAAGTTTATATGTATGTTTTGAGATTCAAAAGAAAAGAAAAAAAAAATTGTGAAAAACATATGAAAAAGAAAAACAGAAACAAGAGAAGAAAGAAAGAAAGAAAAAGAGCTTGTTCTCCCTTTTTGTTCAAAAGTTGAGTTTTCATTCAAAAGTGAATTCTAAGTTGATTCAATTGCTTTGCTCACTATTTCTTTAAGAACCTTTGTTTTCCATATCACTTCTTTGTTAGCCAAACACCCCAAGCCCCATTACAACCCTTATGCTTCTATCTTGAGTGTTATGTGTTTCAATTTGTGGAGTTTGAACTTGGTATGAGCTTATGGAATCACTGGTTCTCGTTCTAAGTAGTAGCATTCCATTCATGAGATCATATTCATATTATTGTCGTAAATCCAGAAAATGCTTTCTTTGATATAACATATGTGAGTGTTAGTCTTCATATTTACATCAATCTTCTCACATATACCTAGTGTAGGGTGTGAAGTCAGAAAATCTGTGTGAAAATAGAGTGCATTCTAGTGAGGAATTGAGCAAATTCTCTAAGGCATGTTACTACATTCAAAACATGGTTTTAAATGCTTAATTGTGAACTAGTATGTGATGACTATGAGTAAGAATGTACTTAAGTGTAAAGATGGCTAAAATCTGTGGGAATAATGAGTTTTAACTTGTCATGTGCATTGGAAATCCCTGAGACGATTGTTGGAAGGTGTAGGTTGTGTTTTGTTCGTTTTGTTTTGTTTTTGGTTTCTTTTGCTTTGTTTTGCTCGAGGACTAGCAAAAGCTAAGTGTGGGGGAATTTGATAGGAGCATATTCATGCGACTTAAATGGCTTGTTCTCGTGCATTTACGTTATGTTTCTTTAGTTATTTTAGTCCTTTATGCTTCTTTTGTGTGTTTTCAGGTTCTAAGGGCAAAGTATGCAAAAGGGTGCATTTTGGTGCATTTTGGAGTAGTTTGGGGCGTTAAATGGATTGCATATACTTGAAGCCAAGTAGATGGACGAAATTGAAGACCAAAGGAGGCCCTTTGTACCAGAAATTCACACCAACACATCCCATTTCAGATTGCATTCCAATCATTCCAGCCAAGCCACATGCACTCCCTTTAATTTATTCAACCTAGCTGTCAAAGCACATGCACATTCACCCTAATCATTCACATACACAATTCACTCTTCCATATTCAGAATGTAGACCATCAAACCACCATTGCCGTGCCCTCCCTACCAATCCAAACACCACCAGAAATCATCCCATTGCCGTGGCCTCCCTCATCCATTTCCATAATTCCCCAATCCATTCAACACACCAAAACTCTCCTTAGACCTTGTGCTACAACGAAGAGGAGGAGAAGAGTGCCTAAACGTTCATACAATTCAAGTTTGAGTTGTTGGAATGTTTAGGTGTTTCTTTTCCTCGATTCCAATGTTTAATTTCAATTCTCTTTGTTTTGTACGTATGAGGAACTAAACCCCCTTGGCTAGGGGGGGATTCGAAATATATGTTTATGCTTGCAATATGATTTGATTACTTCTAATTACGTTTCATAAGTTGTGAATTCAATTTGTTTAACTGTTTGATTGATAACTTATTTATGTATGTTTATTGAGAGTGCACGCTTAATTTTCATGCATGAATATGACGCTAGAATATAAGTGAGTTTCACCTAATAGTTATGAACTTATATTCACAAGTAGTGGAGGTTGCATATAAACAATCGCGTTAAATGAATTTTTGGCAAGAGTATCATGCATTCATAGTTACAATTGCCTCGTCAACACTTATAATTTTCATAGAACATAATGATCTCTCATTGTATCTCTTCTATGCATTCATGTTGAGAACCATCGGAGAATGATTTGAATTGTCGCATGCATCATCCAATTCAATAATATAAGGAAAATTTGAGAGTTAATTAGCACATCACGGTTAACTTGGGGTGTTGAGCATCATGGTTTATTGAAAAGCAATTGGAAATCATTTTATATGCAAGTGTAACATGTGTGGAGATGAACCCCTTAGCTAATCCATCCATCATCTTGTTTTCAAGGAATTCGTTTTACAATCTGCCTAGTTTGTTACTTTGTTTTGTTATTTCAATTTTCGTCAAAACAAAACCCCCCTTTACTTTCTTGTTCTATAGTGTTTAGAATCTGTTTAATTTGTGTTTTAAAGTGTTTTGAATCAACCTATAATCTTAAATTCGTCCAAATTTGTGTTTAAGGTCAGAAACTGCCTAGTTAGTGTTTTTAGGCAGTTTTGAGTCTTTTGAACCTGTTTTGAGTCCTTTGAGTCTTTGTATTGTCCAAATTAGTTAGAAAGTGTCTTAGTTTGTGTTTATAAGTGTTTTGATTCAATTTGTTGCACAAATTCGTCCAAATTCACCAAGGTGCTCAAAACTGCCCAGAAAGTGTTTTTAAGGCAGTTTTGAGTGTTTTGGGTGATGTTTGAGTCTTTTGGTTTGTTTTAGTGTTTTAAGCGTTTAGTCTCGCATTCTTTGAGTCTAGTTTAGTGTTTTAAACTTTATTTTACGTTTTTGAGTCAGTTTCCAAGTGATTTGCAATCCCTCCTAATCCCCGGTCCTGAACGATCCCTACTTATACTTATACTACAATTGTCAAAAAGAGGGTTTAATTTGTGTGCGTATAATTCTCGCATCAGTACATTCATCAAAATTAACCAAAAAATTAATTGTATCAAAACATGGGTACATTCTTCAAAATCACATTAATAGAAAAGATAATAGGCTTAATAACATTAGTAAATTTCTTCAATTAAACTTGACATGGATACATTTCAAAATCAAAGAAAAAAGAATGTACCCATATACGCTTAAAAATGGATTAGAAAAAAATTGAATAGATTTTATATAAAAAATTGTACATTTTACATATAACAAATTGGTATATTTAAGAATGAGTACATTTTAAGATTAAAAAGTTTTATATGAATGGGTACATATAATTAGCATGGGTACATTTAGCAAAATAAATAGTACAAATAAAAAATATATTTGGGTACAAATACAAATAAACTTTAAAAAATATGGGCACAAAAAGAAATTAATATATGAATACAAATTAAAACCGAAAAGAAAATTGGTACAAATTAAAAAGAATTACAAATTAAAAATGGGTACAAACTAAAACTAAAAATATATGATAAAAAAATTAGTCATAAATATAAATATACTAATTGTAACATTTTTAACATTAAATGAATATGTTTATAAATAAAAAAATATTTTATTATTGAAATAATTAATGATGTTATTAATACCCAAAGGCTTTGATAAAAAATTTAAAAGAATTAGGATTTTAATCAATGAAGTAGTAAAAGGAAGGATGAGAACCTAATTTCTCCATAAATAAAATCAAGCAAAATCTTTGTCACCCTAATGCATGTAAACTCAAAACTTCGATTTCGATAACTCGAAAGGCCGTAAATAGAGAGGAAAAAAACAGAAAACAAAATGCAGAGCCGTGCCGCACACAAATAGCTCTTGGTAATTTTGAGATAACAGTTCACAACCAAAGGCAAAGCTGATAAGGTTTTCTGAATCTTCAATTAATTTTGGTGGTCATAGGAAAGACTGATGAACTTTAGATATTGATGGTGGACTGACATATACAAGAGAAATAATAATAATCACTAAAACAAGCTGTGCTCTTAAACCTGACGAGGTCTTCTCGAAACGTGGTTCTAGTTCAACCATGGATTCGTCCACCCGTCCATATAGCAATATAGCATCCTGCGGGATTTGAAATACAATGCCATCATCGACAGGTGAAAGCTTGTGGATATCGGGAAATTGAGTTTGATCTTGAGGTTGCCGGAGATGGTGGATGCGAGCACTTTGGAAGACGTGGATGGCTTTTGTGGTTGCAGAGAGGGTCGGTTTATGAGGTACCGAGATGACGTCGTGGCAGACATGGAGGAGGAGGAGGAGTGCAGGAAGGGAGAGAGGAGACGATCTCTAGATGAGAAGAACACCCGTGATGGAAACGGAGAACATAAACGGCCAATACTGACAGTAGGGTAAAATTGGAAGCGCAATAAATTATTTATTTGGGCCAGTCTTTATTGGGCTGGTTTGATATTGTGTTTTGTTCTAATCGTTAAATAAAGTAATTATATGATTTTTGATTAAAATTTAAAGTATTGAAATTTTTTTTCATTAATTTTTCTTAAAAAGAATCTTATTTTCCGTGATCGCAAGGCCCATCTTGCCAGGGTCCTTATGGTTGCTATAGTTGGCAAACAATATTACCTTGCCAATAAAAACTTAAGATCAATTCATACTCATAATGCATCTCATGTTTCATCCCAAACTATCAAGTGGAGGCTGCCTCATGCTCCTATACTCAAAATTAATTTTGATGGCTTTGTGGTGGGTTTTAAGGCTGCCGCTAGGTTCGTCATGAGGCTCCAACGGTTCTCTATTATTGTTGGATCCCGTAATCTTGGAGAAAGTACAATTTTTGTTGTTGAAGCATTGGCTCTTTACGATGCTTTAAGATTCGTAAAGGTCAAATGTTTTAAGGAGGTGTGTGTTGAGAGAGATTTCAAATTATCATTGATGCCATGTTGAACAAATATAGTACATCTTGATGGCTAAGAACAATTATTGACGACATTATATCTCTGGCCAACTCTATAATAAAAAAAAGGGATTTGAAAGCGTTTTTTTATCTTTTTAAAATCACTTCCAATTCCAAAATGCCCCCTTAAACCAACGGTTATAAGAAAGCGCTAAAACTTGGGCATAAAGGTGCACGTTTCGGCCACGTCTTTCCACACTTTTAAGTTGGGCCTAAAGTCAGTTGTGGGCTTGGGTCAGTGAAACCTTAAGAAACTTTCGTATTTGTATAAATTGATTCAGAGTTCTAACCTAAACCTCGCGTGCTCTTATTTCCCCACAAACCCTATTTCGGCCGCGGCTCCGCCATTGAAGCTCTGCTACGAAGCTCTCTTTACTCACTGTACGTAATACGGTTAGTATTCTTCAACATACCTTTATCCATCTCTTCATACGAGTAGTTTTTATTAATTTATTATCAGGTTCCTCCGATCATACTAGAGAGTAGAGAGCGAATTGAATCTGATCTTTTGGTGCATATATCTTTGAATTCTCTTCTGATTCTCATATATATATATATATATGTGTGTGTGTGTGTGTTTGTACATTTATGTATATACGTGTGTGTTTGATTCCTTGTGATATTGTTTGGATGGGCAGAGATGAAGGTTGTTGCTGCATACTTGCTCGCTGTTTTGGGAGGGAAGAGCAGCCCCTCAGCTGCTGACTTGAAGGACATTCTCGGATCAGGTAACTTTCCTAATAAAAAATCCTTTGTTGCTGCAAGCCTGCTACAATGTATGACTTGTATTAAAATTGTTATTGTTTTCAATTTATTGTTTTGTGTTGATTTTGGAATTCCATTTGTGGGTTTTGCCTTGTTTAGATAATTTAAATTGATTTATGTTTTGAATATCAATTTTGGTTTTGGGCTTTCGAGCTTGTCCGCTTATACTCTTTAGCCCCACACCCGTGGCAATGATTCTAGTCTTGTCGCCCCTTTGGATGAAAGAGTTATTTCATTTAGATTATATGTTGAAGCAATGTCTGAACTTCGGTTGTGTAGACTGCTCTTTTCCTCCATTAGTGCTTATTAATTATGTTGGGATGGAATTTTGGTTATCAGTCTTGCAACCTATTTACCTATATTATTGCTCGCGGTTGAATTTCTGCATCATTGGAATGTAGATGATTTATGATTGGGATTTGGTTATTATGTTATTTGGGAGAGATGAAAAGATTATAGTTCCCGTTTTAACAAGTAACAAAGAAAGAACTCAAATATGTGATGTGTCATGAGTAGTAAATAATTCTTGGCCAGGAAATGTGGGCACGAGCTTAAGTTTCCCTTGGGACTATTATCTTAAAAGAGTGGTATATTATTATTATTTGCGCGGTGCCATTTTTGCACTTGGAAATGTAAATTAATTTGTTTGTTTACAGTTGGAGCTGAGGCAGATGGTGACAAGATTGAGTTGCTATTGTCCGAAGTCAAGGGAAAAGATATCACAGAGCTGATTGCATCTGGAAGGGAGAAGTTGGCATCTGTTCCATCTGGTGGTGGTGCAGTTGCTTATTCTGCACCTGCAGCCGGCGGTGGTGGTGGGGCTGCTGCTCCTGCCGCTGCTGAGCAGAAGAAGGAGGAGAAGGTGGAAGAAAAGGAAGAATCAGATGACGTAAGTATTTTATGTCAAACTGATGTAGATGGTACCAAGCTTGCTTTATTTGTAACCTTGGATTTCCAAATTATATCGTGATTGTTTAATAACATTTTAAATCATATGTTTTGCAGGATATGGGTTTCAGCCTTTTCGACTAAGGGATTTTTGTTCGGAGCTTTGCCTGTATCAAGACTTCATCTTTATATTTTTGGGACCAATGCTGTGTTTTTAAGTTTATGTTTGTAGTTGGATATGGTACTGGATCTCTAAAATTTTGTTTAGATATGCAAGTGATAGAAGATGTTTGCTTTAGATCTTAATTCCATCTATTTGAGTCGACTAAAGGTTGCTTTCTTGTGATTTATTGCATATTACGGTTCATTTAGTGTTTGCGCAACCACGTCTCTCATTAACTAGTTGATCATGGGGTGTGAGATTATTATGTAGCGAAAGTCCAATCTTTCGTACTTATGCCTCTTGTGCCGTCACAAAAATCTGGAAGACTGCTACCAAATGGTTTTGAAAGCAGGAAGAGAAATTGAAAAGAGCATCTATGAACTTTGAAAGAAAAATCGGAAATTGTAGGGGGCTACCCAATCAGCAGGGTGCAGGCAACACTTTCATTTAGGGTTGGTTTGGTATGATATATAGAACCTAAAATGGCATACCCAATCCTGAATCGAAAATTTTTGGGACTCTCGAAATGTTTTTGGTAATTAGGGATTTCCCAAAACTGACCCTGCATCAAAATCCAAATCATCTAGAGTGAAATTGAAATTGTCTAAATTTGCATTAAAACCCCAAATTGAAATTAGAGACAAGTGACAGTGAATCGGTGAAGATTGATGGTCGAGACAGAGAGACAGAGTGAAGAGATAGACCCGCATCCTCCTCTTGACACGAGCACCCAATTCGAAACCCTAACCTTAATTCGAAACCCCACACAGAATCACCGGAGAGAATCAGAGGTGGGGATGAAGCTGTGAGGTCTGGTGGTGGCCAGAGTGGAGAGAGTTTGTTGGAGTGAGATTGTGGAGAGGGTGAGTGGTTGCTGAGTTTCGAATTTGAGAAGGAGAGACTGAGAGAGTTTAAGATTGAGTGAAGGTAGAGATGAGAAAGGTGAAATGAAATGAGAGAGAGTGATTAGGGATGTGTCTGCTCAGGTTTGGATTGAGTTGAAGGAAGGGCTAAGTGGTTTTTGGGTTGCAGAGAGAGATAATTCGAGAGAGTTGAGACAAAAAATGAGAAAGAAATTTCTGTCTTTTAGAAAGCACCCATGTGCTATATATATAGTAATGTTTCGATTCGGTGAAGAAAATACCAACGATTTAAAGTGATACCGAATTCATACCAAACAATTCGGGATCGGTTCAGTTTCGGTATCAAAATTTTGGGGATTTTTGGTTTGGGTTTTTTTTCGGTTTGGTTTCAGTATGGTTTGAGATTTTCAGTTTTTTTTTTTCCACCCCTACTTTCGTTAGTCTCCTTTGTTGACAGAATTCATAAGAGCATCTCCAGACAAGGAGTCAAAACGTCCACATCAGCAATAACAGTATAAAAAAGACACCAGTAGTGTTTTTCAACCTAAATGCCAATTCCTATGGCATGATGTGGATTGACAGCAAGGGTGGTTGCTGTCAAATTTAAAACTATTTTTGGTGATTAATAAGCTTTTTATCATTCTTATTATTATTTTTTGTTCTAACAATACTTATTACAATTTTTTTTTTTTAGCAAACGATATTATTTACAATAAGGGAGAGGAGGTGAGCTTAGTTTCACAATGATCTAGCAATAATGTGGTTCAAATTCGCCTTTGGCAAGAATCGAACCTAAGACGTCTCACTTACAAGTGAAGAGGAATACAACTAGACCATAATATTAAGTGACTAGATTACTTATCTGTTCTATTAAGAGAAGAGGGCTTGTCAACTTTTTGCCCCATTTTCTTCCAATTTTGTATCTTTTTAACTTTTTCCCCCTTTTTTTTTTCTCATATTTTGCCCTCACTTTTGATACACAATATTTACATAATGAGGGCATAATAGTAATTTTGTATCAAAATATTTACATAGGATAACAATATGCACTTATTAAGAGAAACTGTTTCATCATCATTTTTTCATACAGGTAAGTGAAATCATGATATTTTTTGGATAGTTTGAATGAACTGAAGCGGTTGCACTTGAGGAGAACGTGGGAGGAGGTGGACGGCTGTTCACACACACAAAGTATGCGCTCTCTGCTAGTTACAATTATGAAAAGTAAATAATATAATAAATAATTGTTTAAATTTGATATATCGGATAGAGAACAAATTTTTTTTTTATTTAAAAAAACAAAGATCAAAGTGCCACATAACCTTTCAAATTTAAATTTTATGTCTAAAATTTGACTTCTTTTTTGAAGATACTCTAAAAGTTTGAAGAGTGTCTGTTCTGATCAAATTTCTGTTCCTAATCATATCTTCAGATAAAGTGTCTGCTCCTAATTTTGGTAAGAATAGCAAGAAGGCTGAGGAGCTTGCTGAACACATCAAATGAATATAAAGTGCAACTTGCATTACTGAGACTGGCATAAGAATGCTTCGAAGGGAAGTTGCAAGAACCAACTGCATTCTAAAATTGGCCTTCTCAACAAACAAACCCCAAGTTCATAACAATGGGCTGCATGTATATACATTGCATTCCAGATTACATCAGGGAATTGCAATCCCTATTTACAAGGCTATTTGAAATTCAAAAGTATGACGGAAAGATTCAAAATTTGATTACACAGAAAACAAACGTTTGAAAGAGTTTTAAACTCTTCTTGGATAAGACTTTGAAATGATCACAAACTCCTGAAGTTGTTGTTAACTGTTCTCATACGATGACTTGGTCTAACATCTCCCCGGAAGCTGACAGGCGGAGAAACAACTAGAAGCTTGAACTGTGAAGAGGACAAACCTTTTCTAAATAGATCAGCTACTGGTCTTGAGAACAAATGTAATTCACAATTAACTCTCCACGAACCACCTTCTCACGAACATAAGGATAATCCACTTCTAAATGCTTTGTTCTTGAATGAAACACACTGGGTTAGAAGCTAGGGCAATGGACGAAATATTGTTGCACCAGATTGAAGGTCTTACGAGATGCAAATGTAAGTCGCCAAATAGAGACCTTAGCCATGACAGTTCTGCAGCTGTGTAAGGCAGCTGCCTATACTTAGCTGTCTCAAAGATCTTGATATAGCCGTCCTTAAATTAGCAGCAACAAATGCAGCACAAACCAAAGCAACCTTTGAAAAAGCTTTCAACGCCATTGGCAAGAATGCTAATGGCACCGGAGCTACAAAGCAGAGTATAGATTTGTATGATTTTGTGTCAGGGGCTTCTGTTTTTCCAATGCGAGGGGTTAATGACGGTGACAAACCGATCACCGAATTATTGGAAGTAAATAATAGTTAGCGTCTAGTTGGGGTCTTTTATCCTCTAGACAAATGGTTTCCTTGTTTCCAGCAGCAAGGTGCAGCAAGTTGGTTTCCTTATTTCCTGCAACAAGGTGCAGCGTCCCATCCTAGAAGATAGGTTAGTAGAGTGGCGTCCATATCTCTGTAAAAGTCTGTAATCAATCCCTTAATTTAAGGGAAGAAGTCAGTAGCTTGGGCATGATTGAAGGAGTCTACTCCTTATCTCCTTTGCATATATAGGTTGTCTCTTGTCTTTCGTTCATATAATTAATACAGAACACATACAAGATTATCAAATTCCACATGTTATTAGAGCAGTGACCCTAACAGGCTTGTCTCTGCATATTTTTGTGCGTTCTGAGTTTCTTTCAATCCACAACAATGGCTGAAGAAAGTTCTGTTAATCTGGAGGAAGAAAGCTTATTAACTGCTACTCCAACTTTTTCTAATGTTGATGTTAACCCTAACCAACGTCTTAGTTCTGTCCAACTGAATGAGTTCAATTACCTCCCTTAGGAAAGAGCTGTGACTCTTGCTCTTGGAGGAAGATCTAAACTCGGCTATGTCATTGGAGTCATACAAATGCCAGAGCTCACCTCGCCAACCAATGAGGCTTGGCTGTGCAAGGACCAATTGGTCATGTCGTGGCTGCTCAATTCCATGGAGCGGAAGATTGCTGAGATTTTTAGCTATGCTAAATCATCTATGCATCTTTGGAAGAATATGAAAGAGATGTATGGAAACTAGAATAACTCAACTCAAGTTTTTCAACTCAAAAGAGATATTGCTAGCCTACAACAAGAAGAAAACCTTTTGTGCAACATCTTGGCACTTTAACAACTATGTGGAATGAGTTAAACATTTATTGACCTCATACCACAAATGCCATAGTGTTGTTAAAGAGGGCTGAGGAGGACAAAATTTTCAACTATTGGCAAATTTGAGTCCTGATTTTGAAGATCATCAAAGTCACATTCTCATGAACTCTGATCTTCTTTCTTTCTTGAGTATTTGTGCCACTATTCAACGAGAAGAAGTTCGCAAAAGGGTGATGAATATGGAGGTCAAGACAAACATGCCCGAAGCTAGGGCTTATGCCTTCTAATCACAAGGCTGTTGAAGAAAGAGTCTACAAAGGGAAAAGATTGGATTTGAAATGTACCTATTGCAATGGTGTTGGGCATTTGAGGGATAGGTGTTGGATCCTTCACCAAGAATTGAAGCCAAAATTCTCTAAAGATCGCAAGAGTTTTCCAAAAGCCCTTCACAACTATCCACACAAGGCGAATCATGTTGTTTCTTCATCTACAGCGTCGAACTTCACTGCTAATCTAGTAGCCTTAATCAATGAATTTGCAACATTTCTTCACAAGAAACAGATGGGTGGTGACTGTGAAAGAAATATCAGCCATAGGAGTAGCAACTAAACTGCATTACTTGATTAATTTGCAGGGTTTCTTGCTAAAAGTGAGGGCATAGCACACCAAGACATTCCATGTTTTTTTGAATTCCTTCTCAACTGCTCTCAATATTGGTAATGTGCATGATTATTGGATTATAGATTCTGGAGCCATTGATCATATGACATATAAATTCACAAATTTGCATGATTTTGAAAAAATGTCCACCCCTTCTCAAGTGTCGGTTGCTAATGGAAAAACGGGTGTTTCAGTTTTAGGGAAAGGGAAAATAAGTAATCACACTCCAAAGATGATGCTATATCTACTTACTAGATATCCTCTTGGATTCTTCTGGCTTAGAACAAGGATTCTATCATAAAAAAGTCTCTCTCTCACGGTATAAATACACCCATATTGGGTTCATCTATGGTAATGTAATCTGTACACTTGAATTTTGTT